TATATTTAACCCAAACTTTTATGACTACAGCTCCCAATGAATCAGAAACACCCAAGTACTTCTCAAGAAAAGCATTTCCAACTTGTTTATCTGAGTCAAAAATGATTCCACCTGCCCTACTCCGTGGCTCTCAAGCATTGCTTTCCTGATTTTCCAGATTACTTCAGAGAAACCATAGTAAAAGTAAGGAGGCTTAATAAGACACCTTTATTTTAAGGAGCTTGAAGATTAATAATTTTAATTATTAACAGCAGCTTATCAAAACTAACAAAATATTAATAAATTGAACCATGGCTCAACATCTGCAGACATTACAGGCACAGACATGCTGCTGACACGATGAAAAATTCTGCTTTCAATTTGTGAAGAACCGACACATTTATCAGCACACTTCTTACTATATAAATATTAAGCAGTCTCTGGCATCGTGCAGAAACATCCACATGAACATATTGCATGATTCAACACTTTAAGACCTTGGTAGCCTTCCCCAGTAGATCCAGTCTCTTGTACTTATAGAAGTTACTCTGTGTCAAAACCTCTGGTCATTTCAAGCAGCAGAATGGGAGATAGATCACTCTTTCTCAGGACACACTTTTAAAAGTTTGTAGTAGCAGCAGGAGTTGTCAGTCTGCATCTCACAACTTTGTTTCCTTTATAAAGATGTCATCCACTTCACGTATGATGCAGCTGACAGTTCTCAGCCAAGCTGCAGGAAGTGCGACAGGAACGTTTTTTTCCAGGCCAAACAAGTACAAACGTTGCTTTGTCACTGTTAAGCAGAGGCTTGTGCTTCACTGGTTTTATTCTGCTTGCTCCAGTTCAGCTGCTACATGAATTAGAGGGGAAAAATACACAATGCAACAGGGAGGCCGCGCCGAGTTCCGTCTTCATAAGTATCTGCATCTGTCAGTCAGCCACTACTGACAGCATCTTCCCCAGGGCGACAGATATTCCAAGCTTAAGTGGGGAAAAAATTCAAAATAGTGGCAGAGACAGTGCACCAATACTTGTGGTTGTAGAGACCTAGCACCTCTATCTACTCATTTCATACAGAAAAGGAGGCAGTTGTACAAGGAACTGGAAATCCCTCTGAATCCATTGATTCATAAACTAGTGAAAAAATGATTGTGTAAACACATCAAGACTGCATTGCTTACAGTCAAATACACAAAAAATAATACATAAACACTGTTGTTCATGGGACGCCCATTTCACTGGTATATATTTACACAGAAAAGCAAATGCCTAACTTGGGTTTGTCAACGCAACCCAATTCCATCCCCTTTTTCCTCCCCAAGAGGCTCATAACTCCCCCTCAGTGCATGCATGTTTGGGGTACTCTAAAGACACCAATGGGCCAATGGTAATTTCCCCCCAAATAGATTTAATGTTATTTTTAACTCCATCTCCCTCTGTATTTCTCAAATGCTGCAATAAAACTTTTGAGATGCAAACATGAAAAACACTAATAGCTTTTTATTTCCAATAAGACTTTTATTTCCTTCTTTGACTGAAGGCACTCCTCTAATGTAATCCAAAGTCAGGTCACTCTGCATTACTGTTTGACAAATTCACAGTGAACAGCTCAGTCACGACAGCTTTACCATACAAATGCTGTTAGCCCACACCAACTGCAAAATAAAATCCAAAATTTGCCTATAATTTGCATTGCATTTCTTTGAGAATAGGACACGAAACATATTCAAAATATCACCTGGATACTAAGATGCCCATTACAGTTGTATGAAGAAGCCAGAGCTTTGGAACAAAAACCAACTCCTCAACAGAGCTTGGGAAAAGTATCAACACAGCAATGAAATGCATTAACGCCAGATGGTGCACATGAAAGAACAGCATATTTTTTGATGCATAACAGGCTTAAAAGTAAAGCCTGAAATTAGGAACAAAGCTGAACTGAATTAAAAGTTGGTCTGTGTTGTTCAGAGCACTTTGGATACAGCCCGTGTTGTGTATTTGTTACTCAGCTATCTTACCCTCACTCCATCCACATGAAGCAAGTGCTGGAATTAGCAGCACTAGCAACCCCGTTACATTGGGTACACATGCAGTAGCGCACTCCTAACCACCACATCAGCTGCAACCCCTGCATTTGATGCTGTGCTGTGATGCCTCTCCCACAGAAGGGCAGCCGGCCGCACTGAGGACCCGGCTGAACTGCCTTTTAGCTTGCTGCTTTTGAAGGGAAGGGCCTGCAGAGAAGAGACTCACCATCACATTACAGTTACACTAGTGTAACCTCTTTAAATGCATAAACAAGACAACTTTGAGCGTGGAATGAGTGCACATGAGGTACGCAGAGCAGCTCTGCCAGTTCAACACAGGACTGTCCAAACCGCTTCCTCCACAAGACACCGGCTCTGCGGGCAAACCTGCTCACAGGAACACTCCTGGCCACCCAGGTCAGCTTTTCACATTTACTCAGCTCATCTGGGCCTTTTTGACCAAATCAGGTTAGGAAGCACTGATAGGAGCTACTCTAAAACAAGAACCAACGGACAACAGGCAGCTGCCTGCAGAAACCTCCTTCACCTGTCGGATGAAGACGGATGGGAAAGGCATCAAAAAGCCTCAGTCAGGGACATTCAAGGAGCTGAAGACCACCAGCAATTTATAATTACACTATTAAACTTCTGACCAAATGAAGCTTTTAATCTTCCACTCAGAAGCTATGAGAATTACAAAACTTTGGGGCCTAAGCAGACAAGTCTCTGCACAAGTTGGTTAAGACCGGTGAAAATTCCCCTCTTCCCCAGTCTGGTAGAGACCTTTGCAAGTCCTTACTTCAGCTTCAATAAAGCTAGGTATAAAATAAGAAAGTAGTAAGAGAACATTGACAGTAGGGAAGTCAGGGACACATTTCACATACAGCATTTCTAGCTGACAAGCCTACACAGGACATCCCATTGAGATGGGATACAAATACAAATGAAGAAGTGCAAAAGAAAACAAAACACAAAAACCCAAACAACAAAGAAACAAACCCACCATGACCCTGGTACTTTGCAGAACAGTGTTCTTAGTTGCTATGAGAGTAGGGGATTTGGTCATAATTAAGGCACAGGCAGCTGCTTTTTTCCCCCCTTGTCTCAACAAAAAGTTCACATCAAGAGTACAGTGACACTAACTGGGCCTTCAGATTTTAAATCGTGAGAATAATCATAACTTATTAACCAATGTTAACAGCATTAGCCACCATGACATGCAGAAACTCATTTTTATACAGCTAGACAATCACACATAAGGTTAGACTCCAAGATACCAACAGTGGAAGATTTGAAGTATTGAACACATTGCGACACTCCTGCAACAGAAAGGATTACGGATGCAGTCTCAAGCAGCCCTCCATGCTGCATCCAAGCAGTTGGATGGATATCCAACTAGGTAGGAATTGCCATTTTCATGGACTGGTTTGTTTCTAAGAGATGTGGACCCAAAGCTAGAAAGAAAATATACTATCAACATGGATTTTCTGGATTCTGCTGAGACTAAAAAAAAAACTAATGTTTGTTTTTTTGGTATTACACAAATACAAAAAAAAATAGTACCACTAAATGGGGAACTTTGAATCTGTCTGACATGAAGCCAAAGAGTCTCCTATTCTTCAACTATTACCAAAACCAAGGTAACCTTTCTCTCCAGTTCAAAGGCTTTAACATACCAGTATACTCCGAGAAGTGACACTGACTGTCAACAGTAGATTTTAGATTTGCTTTGTAGATCACAGTTTATTATCAACTTTTGACAATTGATTCATCATAACATCTAAACTCTGCAGATCTCCAGGAGGAACATTTTGAGCTCTTTGTTATTAGTAAGGGCTCTACCTCATGTTTTCCATACCAGAAAGGAGTAATCCAAGTGTCTGTGATCTGGAGCCTTGATGCTGTTCTCTGCTCACTGTTTAAAATCTCCATGTCAGTCTTTACATAACGATTTTGAAGCCAGAGTTCTCCATCACCCATGAGCTTTTGATGGCATTCAACGCAAATAAATACGTTTCAATTAATTTTTACTACTGAATGCCTTGTCAAAATGCGATGAATTCAGTTCAGTTAAATTCCTATTTCCAGAGCTCAAGTGCATAAAAATGTCTAAGCAGACATTTGTTAAGTCTGTAGAGGATGCAATGATACAAAAAGAACTTTCCTTCCTATAAGTACTCCAGGTTCTTTTTCTACGCACACTTAGCAATCACTCTTCAAAATACTAAGCAAGAACAAACATTTTAGTCAAAATCATACATTTATACAGCAGCCACTGTGTATTTTATTAAGAAAAGAATTTTTTTCCAGTTAAATTGTCAGTACTTAACATTGACTCTCTGCTTACTTGTAGGAATCCATTCTTAATACTGTTTCTGGAACTCGCTTCCAGCCACACGATGCTGGATCCCTGGCAAGGTGTGCTCTTCTCAAGGCTACGGCAGGCCTATCAGGGAAAGGGCTACAGACATCTTTGCAAAACACAAAGCAAGCAACATGTCCCTCATTCAGGCAACTGAGCCATTCTTGAGGCTGACTTAAACCAGCCAAACAGGCCCCCAGATCCTTTGCATTAAGCAATCTTTTCCATCAGGGCAGTTTCACAAAATGAAGTGCAGTTTGTGGGAAACAAAATCTACGAGATGCCAGTTACGCATTCTCTTCACACAACTGTGGTGATAGTCTCATTTTTCAGACTAGAGAGGTCAAGCTAAACCAAAACACAGCATGTTGTACTATCTTCATGAAAACGTCCTGTTGCAAATTCATCTGCGCTTGCCTCCCTTCCTTTAATAGTTTTGTGCAGTCCCATGCATCAGGCGTCAGAACAGGGCTTCTTTGTTCCTCTGGAACTCGAGCTGCATTTAATTCTCTAAGCAATTCATAATGCAGTCTATATACATCTCCATAAAGTAGTTCTCCATTTCTTTTAAGTAATCCAATCACCACAGAAGAGTCTCCTATTTCGTCAACACCAAGAGTTGCTTCAATTCCTTCATCTTCATCTTGTAGCCATGTGGCAAAATATGGGCTACGTACAGGAAGATTTGATCTTCATTTCGAGCTTCAATAGATGGCCCGAGGATTTTTAGTACTGTAGTAGGCTTCACATGCAGCTACATAAGCAGATTCTGGAAAGAAATCATCATGGTACTCTGCTAAAAACCTGAAAAGAAAGCACACAAGAGAAAAAAAGAAACATTTAATAGAAGCTACTTAAAAATTAATCTAAGCCTAGCTCAAGTGGAATAACTAGTTACACACTACTATAGTAAAAATTGAGAACAGTAAAAAACATAGGCTTTTTTTTTTTTTTTTTTTTAGCATAAATCAACTCTTCAGTGTGTTACCACTTATTTAGAAGGCACTTCCTCCAAAGTTGTTCATTTCACGCAAGTTACTTTTGGTAACTAACAGAGTAGAGGAACCTCAGGAAATTTCTCATGTCAAACATCTTTGATTCAAGACCTGCAAGTGAACTGGCTAGTAAACAATATGCTTCTGGAAAAATCAAATGACAATTTGTTTTTATTTTTAAATCTGAACTAGGGAATTAAACGGAGAAAATTCCATTACATGAGCCATAACAAGACCTAATTAAGTACCTGATTTCTGGTAATATTCAAAAGAGGCAGGTATTGCCAGAAGAAATAAAGATACTCTTGTATTTATAGCAAGGATTCAACTAGTTCTGCAAAAACTGACACTAGGACTTATCATAATAAACACACAAGAGCTAAGAAAAAATTGAAGACCAATATAGTCTTCATCCACAAAATCCTGAGTGTGGGAAATACTGCAGTAGCCTCTTTTGTCAGCAAATATTCACCCTATGCGAGTTTCTCGTTGATTCCAACAGTAGCTGCTGATTTTGTTCATGTTAAAATAGCACAAAGCAAGAAGGTTCACATAATTACATAACTACCCTTTTGAGATCAGATTCGAAAAACATCTGAAAGTTATTCTAAGTCAAAAAATGATTTTAATGCTACTGTTATATTATACCAACTTTCTCTTACCAGAAGTACAGGCATTTAAATTAAAACAGAAGTGATTCTTCCCATGGAAAAAAAACAAAAGATGGTGTAAAAGACTACACAGTGAAAATAGGAGTAAAAATATATATATAAAGTTTAGTGTGAAACTAATCTATTTTTACTATTCCTTTCTTCTTGAACAAGACAAGTCATATCTGCATGAGAGCCACCAAGATTTCACTAATACTTTGCATGAACAATACAGAGCATTACTAGCTTTAGTCATGAACACCCTTCATAATCTTAATTCTTTGGTTTATCACCGCATAAAAATCAGGTTAATGATTGATAAAATGCTTATTTCATGAGATAAGAGATACTTCTTAGAAAAAGACTTATATAGATACAAAAATAAACCACACCAAAATAATCCAGATCCTCCTGCCCTTTTTTTTTTTTTTTTTTTTTTAAAAAAAAAGTCATTCATGTTCTCTAAGAAAAATCTATTCCTAAGTTGCTACGATTTCAGTGCTTTTAAATGAATGAAGCAATCTGAGTCATCAAGTCCCATGACAGTTAGATATAACTCACTTTCTAAATTATCTGGGGCTGTTATGAAGCAAGTGTGGTAAGGCCTAAAACTTAACAGACTTGAGTCTAACTTAACATATTCAGACTGCATAAAATTGAAATGAGCCACAAAAATTAATAGAAGTCCTTCATTAAAAAAAATATTCCAACTTTAAGACAGAGTGAGTGCAAGCTATGGGTGGTCATCAACTTCCTTATGTTGTTAGATAACATTATCTAAAACACAGTACCAGGTGCTGGATCATAAAGGAATGTTTAAAACAAACATCAATAAAACTAAGGAACCTGTAGAGGGCATCCATTACCTGCAGTCCAAGTGCTTGAAAAAGAATGCAACAGGAAACATAATTATTTAATTTGTTACAATTTCCTGACTTTGGCTTAAGATCATCAGTCGGAAATGGTAGCTTGGTACAAGCTAAAGTGACAGCTGGTAAAGATAAAAAACCTTAAATGGATGCTCATGGCACAGCAATAGCTCAGAAAAGGAGAAGCCAGACTGCATGCACAAACATGCACTCATTGCTCATAACAAAGCAGTTATGAAAGGCAAAGCACCGAACATATTTACAGAGATTCAGATGACTTTTGCTCAAGATAGGAAGGGAAGCAAGAAGGAAAAAAAAAAAAAAAAAAAAAGTCTGGTCAGCTTTTGCTACAACCCATTATCTACATATGTGCAGAAAGCAGTAGCCGTGCCAAAGCTGCTTTCTACTTCAAACTATGTGTGTGCAGGAAGCTGGCACAGAAACACTATGAGTCTCCTACGTCTCTTAGGCACTGGATATTTCACTAATGCCTTGTTTTTGGAAGAGTTGAAACAGCAAAGATATCTATGACACTAACTGCAAGTTGGGAGTCAGGACTTGCACAGAGGTTGCTGCACCTACTTACCAAGCAGCAACAACATTCTGCCATAGATCAGAAAACACGTTGCAATTTAAATACTCCAAATTTTTCATTACTCCTCACATATATTCAGTTATCTGTTGCGTTATTGCTTTTCACACAGCTTGTGTTTACACAAACAGTTTTTCTTTTAAGAAAAAGGGACTGTTTATCAGCAATCAGAGTCTTTGGGGCACACAATCCACATACACAACCAGATATAAGACTGCACTTTTTTCCCCCTCTCACTGAGAGCATCCAAATAAAGAATACTCCTGCTTCATCCTCTTGCTCACAGCACAAGAGGTATACAGCCTAATGCAGCTAGTGAAATTTCATCCCCATCTTTCCACCAGATTTTTAGAAAGGTGATGCAACACTTCAGGAAGGAGCAAGGAATGCAGACAGGAAGGCAGGAAACACATGGGCCACCTAGCTTGAAGAATTAGTCAAAGCACTACTCAAGTGGCAGTCCCCGAGCGAGCTTACCTCAGGCTCCAAGCAGTAGCCTCACAAATACTACTGTCTGGCTGCAAGTTATACAGGCACATCTAACAAAAAAAGGGTGCAGAACTATCTTCATCCATATTGAAAGCCCATTTGTCAAATATACACCAAGAACAAACGTTTCTCAGCAAGGTCATTGAATTCACATGAGCTCTGAGAGCATCATCTGATAGTGAAAGGTCTTTGCCTTGGCAGCCTCAACACAAGCCATTACTTGAACAGTCTCTACATGAAGACAAGTGCTTTCCTGCATATCAGCATGTCACCAACAGTCCTAGGGACTGCCTGAAAAGCATGAACCTTACGAAAAGAAAACTTAAAAATTAAGGACAGTCTCAGCTGTAGAGGCGTGAGAATACAGAGAAAAAGAAGCATGTCTGAGAAGGTATCACTATGCATGCTTTCATCACAACCCTGAATTCAAGGAAGCAGGCAGATACTCCAAGGAGATCAGTGGCCTTGGCTAGCTGTTAGTTTGAAAGCCAGCTGTGATGACCTCCCATGGAACTGGCTGAAAGAGCACACTGGGTCATAGAATGCTTAAGGTTGGAAGGGACCTCTAGAGGTCATCTAGTCCAAACCCCCCGCACACGCAGGGTCACCTAGAGCACGGGGCACAGGACTGCGTCCAAATGGGTTTTGAAGATCTCCAGAGAAGGAGACTCCAGAACCTCTCTGGGCAGCCTCTTCCAGTGCTCTGTCACCCTCACTGTTAAGAAATTTTTCCTTAAGTTCCTGTGGAACTTTTGGCGCTTCAGTTTGTGGCCATTACCTCTAGTTCTGTCGGTGGCCACCACTGAAAAGAGGCCAGCTCCATCCTCCTCACTGCCTCCCTTGAGGTACTTATAGACACTGATCAGATTCCCTCTCAGCCTTCTCTTCTCCAGGCTGAAGAGCCCAGCTCCCTCGGGCTGAACTGATTAGATCCCTTCTCAGTCTTCTCTTCTGCAGGCTGAACAGGCCCATATGAAGCTTATCATATTTTGGAGATGCTCTCTTTTTACTGACAGACTGAAATCCATGCTGTTATGATTAGAAATATGCTTCTCATTCAAATATGCAGAGACTTGAAGATAGAGTAAGCAGGAGGAAAAGCAGCAACACAGAGAACAGCTCCAAAGAGCAGTTTCTGGCAAATCAATCAAACTTTAGTCAAGGAGAGCAGTCACCTGCAAATTCCACAGGCCAAAGGAGGCAGCATGAAAACCTACTGAAAGTGACAACCTGTGTGCTCTCCATGTGCTCAGGCCTTCATGGACTAAGAAACATTTAAAAATGCCAAACATTTCAAAGGAATCACACTGGCAGTTACACTTCTATTCACTCGGTGATGCGAAGGCTAACTCTTGGTCTGAAATAAGAAACAGGTATTCACTGCACAAGCAAAATTCATTCTTTGCAAAGTGTTTTAAACCATTAGAGTGAGAAGGAAGGAACTTTGTTTCAAACCTGTATGTGACTATCCACCTCAGAATCTTGATTCTGTCGTAATTCTGTCATTTTTAGGCTCAAACTCAGTAGATTTTTGTAGTACACCACAATTGTATACTACTGAGAGGCAAACAGAGAAGTACTAGTCAAGATGCAAAGCAACAATAGTAGTATCAGGTCCCTTGGGATCTCTCAAACAGCCAGTTTTAACAATTTTGTAAGGTGACAGTTAATTAAATCAGAGTAAGCTGAAACTCAGGAGCAAGCAAATTCAAATACATGTCCTTGCTCCTCCACTCACTGTAAGGAATGTTCCATGTCCTCATTCTCAGAAAACCACTAAACCTCTCATTAATTGCACATTAGCACAGACTAGTGGTGGTAATTCACCACTGCAATTACATATAATAAAATCACTGCGCTGCAAAATGGAGATCTATTAAAACCAGAGAATGTATTTCTTAAGGTTACTTCAAACATCTTTTTAATCCACATTTTATCATCACAACCTTCTGTATTTTGTCACATACCAATCTGGCTCCCTCCCAAGGAAAATACTCAATGCAGCATTCAAGTACTTTGACCATGGAGCAGATTAGCACAATAGATAAAAACAGGTAGGTTACAAAACATCAAACAAAAGTTTTAAGAATGAGAATTTAAAAATAAAAAATAAATAAAAATAATTAAAAAAAACTTATAAGTATATTGAGTGGGTTGTATCAAAACAGAAGCCTTTGACACTTAAGAATGTACTTTTCTAGATCTGAAAAGTTACATATAGGCTGTAACAGAATAAATATTAGAAAATTAAAAAACAGCATTTTAGGAACATGGCTGATTTCTCCATTCTTCTCTGTTCCCATATAAAGAAAATAGCTATGACTTTCTAGAGCACTGTAAAGGTTTTGGTTTTTTTCTTCTTTTAAATGAAGGCTATATTGACCAAAATTACCTCATTGAAGAGGGACCTAAAAAAAAAATCATAGATTTGATATATATGTATACACACACACACACACACATATATATACACACACTACTCCGAAGTATCACTTACCAGTCAACAGCCCTGAGAAATGACCTCTGATCCCAAGAGAGTTTTCCCATTTAAGGTTGATGTTCAAATTAACAGAAACAGGAGAGAGAGGGGAAAAAAAAAAAAAGAGGGCACTTCCTTGACTACCATATCCTGTTAGAGAGCCACACATAGGATACATTGTATAGCACATGTAGCATTTTATTAGAAGTATGGCTGAAGTTATGTAGTTTAAAAGGCAATACTTACTCCACAACAAAAACCTGTAACTGGCATGAAAATTTAGTCAGGTGCCCTTGGTTAGCAAAAACTATTGGATGAAGGACCCTGAATGAGAGTATCTATTGTGCTGCTTCCACTGCTTGCTCCTGAAGACTGAATTCAAAATGGAAGTGAGTTTCAGTGAAAACATCTGGCAAGTTGGCCATTAAATTCCATTTCAGACTACTATTTTTCTACTGGCTTTCTCAATTATTTCAGAACAATTAGTTTCAAGTGAAGACTAGGAGTTTTATAAATGGAAAAAAATTCTTTTGTTCTGCAAATTCTGTAATAAGAATTTCTTCATTAAAAAAATGATTTTTCCATTTTTCTTTTTCCCCTTGACGATACTCTCATTACACACTTGTAGGATACTGCAGTAAGCACAGATGATAAAAGCTTTAATTTAATATGAAACTTCAAGATGTATTTTGTGGCCCTTAAAAAAATAAGTTGTCTGGAAAATTGAGATCAATAATGTCTACCAGCAATCCGAGCCATGACTGAAGAATATTATCCAAAGTGAATTTAATGCATCTACAAAGTTCTGAGTAAACTCAATAAAACAAGCTTCCAGACAAAGTGGTATATTAAATAAGTCTCAGCTTCTCAGCCCACAAGAGACTAACAGTGCAAATGTTAAATGAAACTGTAGATTTAAGCTGTATAAGCGCAAGTCCAAAATAAAAATTAGATCAGTATCTCTGGAAATATTGTATCAGCTATGTATACCACATTAAATTTTTATTTTAAAAAAGATAAACTGTTTGGGCTTGTTCTATTCTAGCTAGAATTGAAAAAGGATTCATGAGCACTATTATAAATGTGAATAGACAGCTTCAATCCCTTTTCTGCTATTAGAAAGAATAAATAAAGAATACAGGAAAAAGCACCTCAGTTTGTCACTCCAAACTGCGCAATTTCCTTCAGCAAGTTGCCCTTAATAAACTGACTGCTATTTAATGCATGCAGACTGTGCAAGACAGTTCTTACCTCTCAAAGAACAGTCGGAATAGAACAAGGAGAGAAGATAATTCTTAATAAACAACTGCTAACACTTTCATTCATGAAAGAGAGAATGCAAAAATGGTGAGGGAAAAATGGTGCAAAACGTCAACAACCTCAAATGTTCTCTTGTATAGAGCAGTATTTCTGTGATGAAGCCTGGACAAGTTTCTGGAAAATGTAGTTGTCTGACCACTTTCAATAGCACGTGGAACAAAGAGAAAAAAGATGTCCCAAAGCATCCTAAACATTAGTTCAGTAAAAACATATTAAGTTGCATTGGTTTCTGTGTACACTATTTAAATATGCAGTACCATACCTAATGCTACTAAGGAAATTAGTTTAAGAATACCTGTGACAAAGCTACATAATCCTGAATGCTTTCAACATCAGTAATTGTAATTGAGAACAATCTTGAAAAAGATGCCCAATCTGACAACAGCTCTGCCCCATCTGACAAAACTACAGAAATAATGAATTCATATAAAAATAAACCATAAGACGGCATCAACAAAACAAACAAGACATTTGCTTAAAAAACACTTGAGGGAGAGAGGAAAAACACAGCCCTTTGACATTTTTGTTTAAAAGACAATGGCAGCCAGATGCAGTTAAGATTAAAGACTCATAATCAAAGAGCAGAGTACAGTCTGTCAAGACTTCGTTGCGTTTTTAGGTGCAACACTGATGTGCCAGTGTTTCTCAGTTCTAACCTGAAGAGTTGGATACAAGATAATAGCTGTATGCATATAACAGCAATTAGGACAGGGCAAGAGGAATTGATCTATAAACAACCCCCTCTATACCAGCTACACAATATCCATATTATACTTGCTACAGCAGTAATACAGCTGTAGCTGTATTATACAGCTACACCAATGTGGATATTGTGAGCACTAATTCTGGTTTAGTTTTAGTTTCGTCTTAAGACACAAGGTCTTAAGGTCTGATTGCCCCTTAGCACTGGAACACTTTCTAATGAAGTGTTACCCCAAAGGAATCCAACCCATACGCTCTGCAACACAATGACCTTAGCATCCTAAATAACATTCACTCCAAGCAAAATAACCAGTTTCTGTTTTCCAACAATAAGTGCTATCATTGTCACGATTGAAAAAGACATTGTAAATATTAACAGTTTGATAAAATAGAAACAAAGAAAATTAATGAGGAAAGCTTGCAAATGACATCTTTTAACAGGAAGTTTGCTTTGTAGTTTTAAACACTTGAAACTTCCCATTTTCGACAAACTGTTATAGCATATAAAGTTTTTGCCTGTCTCAACTTTTAAACAGGGCTTCTGATGGGACAGTGGCACACAATTTTTCAGCACATTGCTATTTTGATTGGACCAAAACTCTTGGAAGTTGCATATTAGTTCCAAATGAATACCATTTACAACAACATTTTTCTATAGGTTTTTTCCTGGGAAACTTATTTTCGACTACGTTGACACTACACAGTACAATGCCATGTTCATGTTTTGACCTAGTACTGCTGTGTCATGCAGCAATACTAAACCAGAGGACCTGAATAACAAAAGCCAATTCAGGTGCAAATGATACTCTTCTCTCCAACTGCAGAACTACTGTGGTCAAAAACAGTTGGGTGTCGCTACAAGTGACTGTTTTATGTGTCAGAGTAGTCCACTGGTTTACCACTCGTCAGGACAATTTACAGTTTTTCTCTATAAGGTTAACAATCAACAAAAGGTTCTAAACAACAAATTTTTCCCTCTAGTAATATCCGTGTGACATCAACACCCTCAGATTATGTTCTCAAAAATAACAGTGTAGTTTACATTTTTGAAAAATATGATGCTTGGCCAAGTCAGACATGACATTCTAAGACATACTAGACAAAGTTTAACACTTCAGTTCTATATCACTTTAGATCTATCAAAACTTGGACTACAGGATGCAGCTTCCCTTCAAGTTCAATTACAGAAACAGCTTATCCTTAACATTTTATCTTATTTCCTTTATCACATTCTTGTAGTTATATAAAATGACTATCTTTGTTAAAATCCATGTCATTCCAGAACACAGAAGCATGTAACAGTACAAACACTACTGTGGTAGATCGTGTCAAGTTACCTCAGGAACATTTCGAAGTGTTTTACTAAAGCCTTTAGGTTTTTGTCAGGAAAGCACATCTTCCCCAATATTTCTGGTAGTTTTACTGTATAAAAAAAAAGAAGAAGAAAGAAAAGAAAAATAATTATTTATGGCTTTTTTTTTGGAAGTAATTTCTAGTTACTTTTAACTACTACACAGAAAACAGTACATAAATTTCACTGCAGTCTCCACTTTGAGTTGGTGATTATTCAAAATCTTACTGCCTTTAAGAATCACACTAAGAAAACTAATGCTGAGAAAGTTAATGCTGTTCAGTTTATTGACATTGGATTATGTACTGGAAATAAGACTTGCTTGTAAGAGCTGGTAAATGACAGAATGCCGTTCACAAACATAACTGAAAGTTTAAAGCAGATTAAGTGTATATAACTCAAAAAAAGCACAAACAGAAGAGTCACAGAAATAGATATTTCCACTGAAAATAAATTGGAACAACTAAAGCATTTGTGATTCAGCACAAGGTTCTGCATGTGTTTACCAAACATTCGTAGCAAGTGTTGAGATCCGTAGATATACGAAGGAGGTGGTGGTTGATCACTTGGTGGGTAATTCTCTGGCATCAGTTTCCATGACAAAACCTGGATACAAAACATGAAAATTCTGGTTAGGACACCACTACAGCTTCGTAAATAAACTCAGTCTACACAGAACTTCAGAAACAGATGATTTAACTACTAAACATATCAAGTAATATAAGCAGCATCTTTTCTTACATAGCTCAACTCTGAGGTCTAGGACATCAAAATAAAAAGCTGTTACCTCATTCAATTCATTGTTTCTTCTACCTTCAAAGCCAGTAAAAACCGCACTCCCCTCTTTGCTAGGAGTCAAAGTAATAGGTGAAGATGATCCACTATGAACAGGGGTTTCTTAAAAGGGAAGAAAAAAATATATATATAAAAAAATCAGAAATGCATTATTTAAGAATTTGTTTTATCCAACTATAAAGTATCAAATGTAACCAAGCCTTCCTGCTAAGGCATTTAGTCTTAAACACAGACCTTTTTTTTTTTTTCTTTAAAAAAAAGGCTTTTCGAAAGCAGACTCCCAGAAAAACAGCTTCTTGACTTCTACTGAGAATTACAGTACAAACAGACTACTCAGAAGACTATTTTTCTGCCTTGTGTGCAAAATTACAGAGTTAAGTATTTGAAACAAAGTAACAACTGTCCATTTCAACCACTCAGTTCTCAGTCCAAACAGGTTTTTTAAAAAACAAAACAAAAAATACACACCACACACAGGGCTTGCTGTAAAGAGTAAATTAACAATTCTGATACCAAAACCCACTTTTCTCCAGGTGCAAGAAGAGCTTTGGCATAGACGCCGGAGTCTCAAGGTGCCGCCGTTTGGGCTGCGGGGAGGCGCTGCTCTCGGAGAGGCGGTCGCAGTTAGAGCTATGGCGGGTCGATCGTCTCAGCGACTGCAGAACTTCAGGTTCCGCTTTTCGCCTTTTCGGCGTGGCTGGCTCCCCTGTCGTGGGCTGGCTGTCCGTCGACTGAGGTGTTGGGGGGTTCAGAAGGGGAGGACTTGGGGAAAGCTCCTCCTGATTTCTAGGAAATAAGGTCAGCTTTACTAAAGCAAGAAGTTCACCATTCTGGCCCTAAAAAAGATCCTTCTAGTTTCGCAGATTTTGTTAAATGCCTGTTCAAATTAGATACTCTCCTCCCAAGAAGCAGGAAAAGTTATGAAACCTTCAAGATTTAGATTTTAAGATGTTATTTTCCTCCAAAGCAAGACACTGAATTTTAAATTTGAAAATAAATTTATGAATTTACATTACAATTCTTTTCACAAGCTTACAACATAAATTCATGCCAGTCAGTATACTCTCATTTGTGAGTTAACCCACTAGAAGGAATATTTATAAAATGTTGAACCTTTCTGTAAATTACTTGCCTTTCTGAATACAGAATGTTGTTTAACTGTATTATCCACATGAGATAAGTGAGATTAGACTAATTATATCCAACCTACCTGTTAGTGTTTGTTGAATTTTCTTTGATTGGAAGAAAGAATTTTGATGATGTCACCTTCTTAAATTGGGCTTGTTCATAAGGATAGAGCAAAATCAGGGGAAGTGTGAAGTCAAAGGTTATTCGCAGCCCATCCACCATCTCTTTACATAGCTCAACACTAGCAGATGGAAGGGAAAAAAAAAAAAGGAGAAATCTATTCTAAGATCATGAGGTTCAAAGCTGCATTAACATTTTTCAGTGCAATTCTGGGAAATTCCCCTTAAAAACAGATTAATGTATTAACTATTATATATGCTATGATTTCACCAACATGCAATGGTAAGCAATTAAAAAAACATTTTTAAAAGACAGTGATTATTGTTGAAAACTTTTTATTAAGCAAATTATGCTTGATAAGCTCAAACAATATCTTACAATTTTGTTTAATCTAAACTGCGTTAAGAAGATCATATGCAGAAATTCCACCATAGGGCAATTACAATATAGGGGTCACCACAGTTTCTCCTATATATAGTCCCATCACTGAAACTATAAACTGTTCCTCTAATAAAACACCTTTCTCATTGTAATATTCACATTCTAAAAGGATACTATACATGTGATTATCTGAATATTTCTGATGTTGTTTGGAAAATTATACTGCAAAGGAGGAAAGTATTGTTAACAAAAAAATGACACCAAAGAAACTGAAATGCACAAATCAAAGTATTACAAGGCATAATATGGAAAACCTGAAGTAGAAGGTGGTAACAGAGATTACAACTTACTTTCTATAAAATAAGATTGCAACGCACATAGATTTAAAGCAATCTAGTTATTTATTTTTCAGAATCTTTACATAAAATTCAGACTGCAGCCACACAAGCTAAGTTAGCAATCTGCCTCATTGTAGCACTGTAGAAGTCTGCACAACAACAACAAAACGTTCCACTTTCCTACCTACTGACTGTAGGATTTAAGATATTTGTCATAAAAACCCTACACATCTCCCACTGCAGTTGCTTACTTGAAGTGCTCATATAAAAATATTTATTTTTATGAATCAAAGTATGAACTGAATATATTCAAATTTTATTTCAACAGGGAAATTCTCACATCAGAAACTTTCAGTGATCTAAATAAACTCTTAACACAGACAGAAGCAACACATTCTTCCAAAATAGATCACAATATTTACAAAAATTCAAGTGACAAAAAGGGGTATTGATTTTTGCATGTTTAGGGACTCTCAACAATAAATGAATTGTTATTACTGTACTTTAAATATTTGTCAAGTATTTTAAATCCCATGCATAAACACACATCAAAGCAAGTTCACACAACAGCCTTGAAAAAAGTCATGCTTGAAACAAATCATTTTCTTATGACAACAGTGCTAGACTAAAGATTACTTACTTCTTCTCTGGTGGCACGTAATGAAGGTTCATATTGGCATGTGGAGTCATTTGATGATGTCGAGATCTTTCATTGGCTGAAAAAGCAGCATTAATAGCAAAATGTTTCACATATGACTCCAGGATGGTTATTATATTCGTCTGACAAGGAAGCTTCACTAGCTGAAAGAGAAACACCACCTAAGTAAAACACACTACAACATGAGCTTCTAATATATTGATTAGTTTACTAAAAAGCACTACAACTAAAACTACATTTTAATCAATCCTTTATAAACATCCAGAGAAAGAAAAATATGGTCAGGTTGACCAGCTTTCAAGTTTTAAAGAACAATCTGCATTCTAAAACACCATTAAGTACCAAGGTGTTCACATCCTCAAACACAAGGACAACTCACTGTTTCAGCTGTCGTGAAGTTGTTCCCTCTACTCTTAACTCATTTTTCTTCCTTATACTTTAAGATCATCTTTGTATTAAAGTTTTTTTTTAATTTTAAAAAATTTTTTAAAAAAAGCAGGAGTTATATGCAAGATTTTTTTTTGACACTTCTATGCACATTCATTTCATAGCTACTATTTCATACCCGTTTCCTTCTGTTAATATAATAACAGTCTTCTTCAAGCTTCTTTTTTAAGACTTCAGGAATTTCTATGCTTATTGCTCTTTCTTCCATGTCCCTTTTTGTGTGACTGTCTTGTTCTTCTTTCTATAAGAGGCCACAAAAACAGTATTGGCTGTGCTTATTAATATCAATGAAAGTGCTTCAATGGTCAGAACAGAACAATGAAACAAAAAGTTTATTATTTTTACAATACAGTAAATATTTAGACAATAGTTACACTGCAAATAGCAAATAAAAATAGTTTTAAAATCTAAATTTGCAAATTATCTGAAAGCAGGATTCTTAGTTATTTAACACAAAAGAACTAGAAATTGGTTCTGCTACTGCGAATCAAGAGCACTTAGCACTTAGATTCAACTGACCTTCCAAAGAAACTGTTTTCTGCCGCATTTTATTAATGCATTAAAAGAGCCGATTATCTTCCAAATGCCAATTTAAGATGAGAGCTCAGCTGTTCACAGGAAAATAACTTCAAAACCCAGAAAGATCCTACCTGCTGTTAGGATTTGCCCAACCTGACCAGATGTGCAAAATTCTGCAACACCCATAAATATGAGTAATAATTTGCTAGTAAGCCTCATGTAAAGAGAAGAAAATGAACAAATACGTAATTTGGGATTCATATCGAAGAATTCTACAGGAACTGCACATCTTATCTGCTTTTCCAAACCTTAATTACAGCAAATACTTACTAAGTGTAAGCAACTTATGCAGGTTGAATCCAGCTATATACTGAAATACACACTGTGGCCTATACTTCAACCATTTCAATTTTCCCAGTGTTTCAAACACAGTCTTAAACATTAAGGAACACATAAATATACCATTTCGGTTCTCTCATCAGTGTCACTTTCTTCACTTCTTATTTCTTCGTCTGTTCCATCATCACTGTCATCACAAGAAGAACTACTTATAGCTGTATAAAAGAGGTATTTTATATATTTATCTCATATATTACATTGCAGAGATGCAGAGATTAGATCAAATCATCACAGGCCTAAGCTCAAAAAGTAACCACCTTGATATAGTTAATTAAGATTATTCACCATAATTAACCATGCAAATTATATTGACAGCACACAGTAAACATTTAAATACATCAGGCAAGAGAAGCTGACAGGAAGTGTGCTCGCATCTCCTCCAATTGAGGAAAACAAACGAAACAAAACACATCATTCTAGAAAACTCCCTGGATTTCTGAATACCAAAAGATCTTTTCAATTTTTAATTGGACTTCACTTGTGAACAGGGGATTAATGCCTGCATTCCCACAGCACCAGTTGCCAGAACATCAGTTAAGCGCCAATCTCCCTTCCGCCTTTTAAAGTGCAAAAGAAAAAAAGCTATCACACACACACACACACACACACACAAAGTGTCTTAAAAGTGAAGTCAACAACACTAGTCAGCTGACTAGAGACACACCTTCCAGGTAGACTGGAGAAAATGACTTTTTCAAAATATACACAGAAACACTAGCAAGCAAAACAGCTTGTTTCCTACCACCAAATAAGAAAAACCTTGCACTTGGAAAAAATCACACTAAACAACGCAGCATTAAATTCCAAAGTCACTGATTAGACTAGTTGAGCAGAGATGGCAGGCAAAACCAAAAGCCTCTGAAGCACAAGAAACAGCACAGAAATTAGTTGCATAGCCTGAAACAGAATATGTTCGCTCAAACAACTGCCTCAGCGGACTTCCAACAGGACTGGGATGCTCCTGTGTAAATCTAGTAGCAGGTTTAGAGCACTCACTACACCCTTAGCTTAAGAAATTAAGAGCATTGTGTCAGTTATCACAAAGAATGAAAATAACCTCACAGTTTTCACTACTCTCTTCATTTTCCTCTGCAGGAAGGCTTTTTAATACAGAGTCAACACCAGGCAACCTGCAACGTCTCTTCTTTCTTCCCTTTCTTCTCCTATAGAAGGTAAAATGGTTCACTTAAACTTAGCTAGCATTATTTGTTTATCCTACCTAATGACATCACATGTAAAAGCACAGAAAATGCATGCCTATAGTTATTTTTCTTAATGTTGTAGTAATTTGGACAATGCCTATTTGACAGTGGACACCTTAATGACTGTACATTACATCACACTCCTTAAGCCAGCTCCTCAAGCCATGGCCAAGAAACATTAGATTAGTGCCTTTAGCTGAAAAATACTCCAGGTTTTCCTAAGTTATTTTGTTTCTTTGAGAAGATGAAGATCCAATACAAGTGCATTTTGCAGCACTACTTCAGAATACTGTGTAGTTATAACATATGTCAGTCATTTGGAGAATACTCTAATGATAACATATACATATTAACCTTGGCACAAAAAAAATGGCTTCCTGTAACATGCTACTATCGACATCTACCATTTGCAGTTGAGCTTAGAGATTGAACTCACTTGTAGGCACCTAAATGTAATTGTTTGAATCTGAAAATGAATCCCTGACACCAAAGGGTTTCTTACATGCGAGCCACAGCCTTCCGCGCCAGTTTACGCTGTAATCTGCGATTCTCGTCTGTATCACGAAGAACATGATCTTCAGCTGCCCATCTATCCCAGCTAGTAAGAGATCAAAGGAAAATTGCTAACAGACATATATTGCTAACAGAAATATATTCCACTGATCATTACTGGTAAATGAATATACATTACACGTACAAAGGCTTACCATCTTTTGTATTTTTATGGCTTCAAATCCCAAGATAACTATAAAGCTCTCAATTTGAACTCAGCATGGTTAGAGGTTGCATTCATCTACTGATCTTGATAATTAAACAACTTAAACACAGATTTAACACAGAATTTCAGCTTCTAACTCGTTGTTTTCAATCAATTGAAACCTAGGAGCCTGAATATTAGAAACTGTTTTAGCCACAGTTACATGCCAAAGGCAGATACCATACGGAATTTAAACTTCCAAATATGAAGACTGGACCATTAAGATTTATGGATTAAAACCAATGTGTCAATATGAATAGGCATATTAAAGGCATTCACACAACCAAAAATATTCACATGAACATAACTCTAAAATTCCTCTGATTTCCTGTTTAATCTTTTCTTTGCAGAATAAAGTGGAAGAATTTAAACTGTGCATACAGGTTCTTACCTTCTGTTCCAACCATTAAAATGGATCAGATATTCTGGAATCTTTCTGCCTTTGTCATCTTTTCCAACAATAATATCGACGATCTGAAAAAATATATATATACATTGAATACCATGTATGAAAAAAGCTTGAGAGAAAGCATTTAAAGAATTTAAGAACGTGGAAAAAACATTTACATAAAAAATATTTCTGAAATTTTGCCTGTATATATATTTTAATATGAACATAAATACGTATCAATGGCTGAAAAATTCTTTTTTTTTCCTCTCCTTTAAGAGCACACTTTAAAAACTGAGCCTTGCTAACTGTTCTTGCCCTTTTCTCAAATTTCCGGTGCTTTCAAAACAGATGAGGAGCTGCAAACCAATGCAGAATCGCAATATGGATATGTAGATATACCACATCTGGGCAAGTAACATGCTCTCCTGTGCTTGCTTGCTTCCTCAAAGCAGGAAGCAACATAATGCTATATATAACCTCAAAAGCACTACTCTTCTGAGCAACACTGCATTCAGCAATGCTAAACATTAAAGTGCTTTGTGAATATCAGAGCATTTGTTTTTTCCCTTTCATCCACATAACATCCTCCTCACCACAGCCAAAAGCTTGTTTTGACCAAAGCAGGATACAGGATGAGTGGAATCAAAAGCCCTGATTCTTGTTAGTGGCCTTTTCTGACCAACACTTTAAGCAGGCACTTTCAACATACGGTAAGACAGACAGATACATTACTGTAGCTTTCCTTCCTCTTAACTAGGAAGGAGAAAGAAAAAAAAAAAAAAAAAAAAAAAAAAAAAAAAAAAAAAAAAGGACACTGATCAAGAGAGAAAGGTATTTCAGGGGGATCACTGAGAAGAGTATCAAGACAAGTCTTAACAAAGAAATGATCCTGGAATGATTTGGTACAGGCTGCATATCTCCAGGTACAGCCAGCAGTTAGGCTGTATAACTGAGGGTATAACTTGGACGCCCAGTATTTAAGAGTTGTCCAGTCTCATGGAGACAAGAAGAGCTCTGCTGTAATTTGGGGCATTTATAAGTAGGAAAAAAAAATAGAACTATTAATTTTTATACTAAGGTTGGCAATTATAGTGCAACAGATCACGGTGGTAAGAACACAGATAGATGGACTAAGAACAAAAGTATTAAGGAAAATATTAGAGGAAAATATATTAGAGGGAAAAAAAAAGGAGGGGCTGATGATCCTCAAAAAATTAAAACACTGATCTATTAGCAAAAAGAATTTGATGGGAAACCCACTAGCCATATTCTTTTAATCGTTCAGAGTGACTAGAAAGACCTCTGCTTACTGAACATTTACTTCAATGGTGTCCCACTGGTACCCCAAAGCCCCCGTACACCTGCCTAAAGCCCTGCAATTATAGTGACCACTTTCAAGGCAGGTGCAAGTGACTCCGTGGCCTCTTACTCAACACTTACAGTCTAACCCTGACTACTACGTTATTTCTGTACCCCCGGCACCAGTTCCCTGAAGAGCAGAGGGCACTCAAGGAGGGGGGAAGCCCAGGTACCTACAACAGCAGAGGGAAGGACACGAGCTCTGAGGGCCACCCTGGAGGCGGCGGGAACTGCGTGTCACTTGCACCGCCCCGCGGCCGCGCCGCTCGCTACCTGCGGCGGGCGCTCGGCCCCGGCG